ATGTTATATAAATTTCCATAAAATCATAAATGTAAACATAAAAATTTATTTATAATAAAATTTTAATTCGAATTTTTTCTTAAATTTTTTTAAACGAATTAAATCATTTCACTTTTCTCAAATCTCGTTGATAAAATCTGCCTGATCATCCGAGTTTTCACTTCATTAATAAAAACATTAAAGATCTCTAATAAAATGATATTCCTACGCAAAATGCAGTTTTATAGTTAAAATTGAAGATTTATTCTCTAAACAGTATAAATAATGAGCGATCAAATTTATTTCAATGACATTAAATTTCAGATAAAAATGCACATTAAAGTCAAATATTAACAACTTCATAGCTGCGTGGTTGGTTTAATTTGATTATTTAATTGATTATTAACTAATTTTTGAATTAGAGAATTTTTAAAATGAATTAAGTTTAAATAATGCTTTTCTTAGTTTGATTTGATACTCTGGAATTGATAAGAGTGTATCTATACACATTTTATTTCTTAAAATAAAAACGAGTAGTTTAACTCCTACTTAATGTTAGATTAATTACAGTACATTATAAATCTTTTTATATAGGTTTTAATGATCAAGTTTATGTATATTTTGATTATTATATTTGCTTTATTTATTTTAAATGATATATTATTTATATAAACTACTAAAGTTAACGTACACGAGTAAACACCGTAAATATTTTAATGTATTTAATACAGATATGTAGTTAAAGAGATATGAAGCGTTTTTAGAATGTGTAGTTAAAGTTTTCTTTTTTGACTCTACTGGCGATTTCCATTCTAATCTCTGACATTTTCAATGACATTAGCTTAAATGATTGATGGATTCCTTTAAAACATTTGAAACATATCTTTACAACATGGAACTCGCTGGTTGTATTAGATGTCCGTCAGTGAGTGTACTACAAAACACATTCAGGCCTTCAGTTTGCTGAAATTTTTCTGTGGATTATGTTTTTCATTATCCCAATTTACTCATCGCAAACTCGGCGACTGTGTGGTCAGTTACACGGTCACTGTTTTGAAGAATCTGTTTGATTTTGTATATATTTACTGTTTGGTTTTTCTAGCGGTGCTATGTCATCGTCCTGAAAGTACTCGCAACCATCAGTGAATTTGCAAAGTCAGCATATAACATGATTTTAACGATTTTAAAATATCATTCCATATCTAATCTCTGCTCCATATTTCTTTTTCAATTGGCATAGACAAAGTGATTTTACATAAAACGTCAATTAATAGCGAAATATTGCGGGATTATTGACCGGTCACTGTAGATTGAATAATCACCTACCGAAATTAGAAATTCAATCCAAGTCAGACTGCATATACTGTAGAGAAGAGAGACAAACTGCATACTATGTGCTTCGGGAGAGACACCTAGGAGAGTATTTTACCGTCTTTCCTTAAAGAAATCGAACTTGGAAAAATACTCTATCTTGAGTAAGGGGCACAAGAGATAATTTAGGTCGCAGTGCACGATTCCTCCTTTTCAAAAATAATACTAAGCGAAATATCTAGTGAATTCAGACAAAATGTGATAAAGTATTCGCTATTCCCCTACCATCATTCACAAATAGATGTTATTGCAGTAAAAATCTTATGTTTGCTTATGAATGTATGTACACTAGGGTGCCATTAAGGTATATGGGCTATTTTTCTTTTGTAAAATCGGTTGACGGAAAAAATAATAATAACACAAAGTTTTGAATGAGTGAATAGTTTATTTTAAATAGATCTATAACTTTTAGGAAGACAGTTTTTATGTAAAATTAAATATGTCGCAGATATAAGTAATCAAAGATGAATTTTATGGAATAAATCGTTATTTTCCAATCTTTGAGGCTCCTGGGGCACCATTTCCACTTATCCAATTGAACTAAAATTTCACACAGATTATTTTTTTAGTAAAATGAACCGATCTGGGGGGTGCCTCGGGCAATTTTCCGATTTTCGAAAATTAATGGCACCCTAAGGTACACATATATCAATAAATATATATGTAAATATAACTTACATTTTACACATTATTCTACAGCAGTTCAAAAAACCCTTAGTGTATTTTATAAAAATAAAATTCAAAATAATCACAGTTTTACATGTTTTTGTATCGACAATTAATACCAATCCCAGTTTCCATGAAAAACGAAATTTTTAACATTCCCTGTTCTTATGAATAAATGTCGAAAAAATTCCATATAAAATTATTGCCCAATGGTGCTGAACGAAAATTTGTCGCCATGATCAATTCAATGAACTGACTTTGAACGCCTTGACAAATGGTGCAATAAAAACAGATCAACGATATCTGAGCAATAAATTGCAATATTGCCAATATACGTAATTTATTTGGGTCAATAACAAAAACTGTGGGAGCAATTTTAGCAAAAAAAAAGTTATTTTTATTGTAAATGAACTGAAAATAAAAGATCATTTCAAAGAATGCGAACGGATATTATTGATAATGATCGCGTCGCAAAAATGTTCGCCATCACATCAAAGTTCTTCAGTTCTGAGTTCTAAGTTGTGAGTTCTGAATTTTGGGGGAACACTTCAGGTTCACATTGAATGTTAACTCATACGTAAAACAAGTCAATGTACACACAAAAGATATTTGTCAACACTCTCCAATATCACCTACGTTCATATATGAATGGTTTCCGATCGTATCGCGACGAAACGTATTGCCTCGATTTATTGTCGATCAAATGACAAAATTGCTCATTTTCTGTTCGACTGGTTCGAATCTGTTGGAAGTGCTCTTGAACCGTTTTTATTGTCTTTTCGGCTTTGTTGCTGAAATTCAATTGATTTCGTATGTCATTTGGGTGGTCTCTGGAGCCAGTGATGCACGTTATTCACATGAATTAGGTGAGGTACAAATTTAGTTTTGTGTCTTTTATAGTTACTCGAAGTCTTGTCTTGTTTTTTTTGTTTGTTTCATTTTTTGTGAGGTGTGGACATTATAACAATTAAATAACAATATCTGATAACCATGACTAAACGTAATTTAGCTAATATAATTTCAAATATTTCAACAACAATGAAAAGTAACAAAAACCAAATAACAAAAAAACTTTTGATAAATGTAATTTCAAATTAAATTATGAAAACTCTTTCATAAAAAATTGCAATATCAAATTTTTTTATTTATTATCTGAAAAATGGTACTTTTTTATTCGAACACTTTAGCAACTTTGTTGCAATGTTGCAATGTTGTTTGATGTTTGGTGTTTGAATGTTTTCCATTCAAGCCTCAATTTCCCGTGGGGGTGAAATTTTCGATTTTTGGTTTCGTGTTGCACAAAGTAACCAAAAATTAGACAAATTGCTCTGAAGTTTGAGTTGCATGATTTTTTATCGAATTTTACATCACAGCCAAAGTTTCCAAACCACAATCTCAATGCTCACAACAACTGCCGATTATTATCATTTTTGACTGCAGACTTCAAAATTTTTTTAGTTTATTTTTCATATTTTGTGAGATTTTTAAAATATCTTTATTGCCTCAAACCGAATCAAAAATTTTTTTAATTTCACACTTGGGGGTGTTTTTCTAGTGCAATTTTACTGTCGATGAAAGTTTTTATTTTTTCTAATGCAACTTTTGATTTATTGCATGGTTTTATTTGTTCATATGTTTTTGATTTGTATTAGGAAAAATTTTATGATATAACTGGATATTCCTTCAAAAAGACCAAACCAAAAAATACAAAATTACATAAAATTTAGTATTTTTAAATTTATTTCACTATTAATAATGTAGGTTTATTGCGCAATATCCGTATAGGACGTAATGTGTTAAGATTTATAACTGCGAGTTTCGGTTCAAAAATACTTGAAAGTCTTTAATTATTCATCTGTTCGGGAATTCAAAATAAAATAATGTCTACATATTATTTATATGTATAGGGCCGCCTTTTAAGTTTTGTGCCTAACAAAGAAAATTCAAAGATTAATCAGTAAAAATAGTTTTATTGTTTTTCGAAGTATGTCCCATGATGAACAATACTTTTTGCATGCAATTGAACTAATTCTCGAAACAATTTTGCCGCACTCAAGTTGGTATCTCCAAAACCACGGTTTTGAATGTCTAAACGGCCTGTTCGGGCATTGAAAAACACTTGCCAAGCATTTTTTTCTAAATGTTTGGAACAAACAGAAGTCATTGGATGCCATAAATTCGATGTTTTGAGTGCTCTGGAGTGTATCCAGAGCAGATGATCATGATCTGTTACAATTTGTTGTATTTCAAAATGGATGAAATTATGCGGATATCAATTTAAGAGATACCGCTTGAGATACTACAATGAGAAAGATTGGAATGTAAAAAAACGTCACTAGTAAGATAAAGCATTCGCCGCAGATGAGAGGTTATTGCGGTACATTTTATTGCCATAGATACATGTGATGTATAATGCACCATTCTTGATGATTCAGAAGGCATATGGTACACATACAGTAGGAAAGATGATGTATAATGCACCATCCGTGTTGATTTATAAGGCTTATAGTACACATACAGTTGGAAAGAAGGCGGTGTACGCATAATGTGATAGTCCAAATAATTAACGAATGAATAATTCCCAAGGTCTGAATGTAACAGGTCTGCCTCATTAGTTACAACATACCCAATCAGGTCAGAGAACACACAATCTTGATTCATGTAAAGTAATTCATCATCCATATATTGTATGCGCTAGATACAATAAAAAAATAACCAAAATCCTTTATGTCATCCTTTATCTATTTATATTTTTGTTGTATCTAATTAGCTTCATTAATTGAACATCGCGGTTGTCCAGGCATTGCTTAGGCAATTCAGTACAGCGCTTGGCATGGATTTATAACCACCAAGGTGGATATGGGTTCATGAGGGTGACGCACTCCAAATTGGAGGTCGGGATGCCATACAAAAGAACAAATAATATTAATGTTTTCATACTTAAAATGCAATTTTTTTAACATTGAAATTTTCTTTCATTTTAGTGTCTTATTTGGCAACAAGGATGGCCGCTAGCAATACCCACTGGAGAACTTATACTTCATTTGGGGGCCCTTAATGAGACCCAACTAAAACCAGGAGATATATATTTGTGTGTAAAAAAAGGTAAATATATATGTACCTATATATTTATAGACCGAATATGTTGTATATATTTATTTTTAAAGTACTTACAGAAAGGTATGATAGAAAACATTTATCAAGCTCAAATTGTTGAAAAAATACTCATATAAATATGTTCTGACGGCTTATTAAAATAAAATAAAAAAAAAATTATTGAAAATTAGTTTTTTAACCTATGTGTAGTCACGTCCATTACATGCACAAAGTAAAAGATTTATTTCTAAAAAATATTAATAAAATATACCGTCAGTTACATTAAATTAATTAAAAATATCCACCATAGATAATTTTGGCGTACCACAATTTCATGCAGTTTGGCGTTCGGCATATGGTAAAGCAACTGTACAAAGTCGTTGCATAGATTATAGCGATCCAAAGGCATATCTAAGTGTTCCTTCTTTGGAAATGTTGACCGACGAACTACCGCAACTTTTGCAAAATTTGCTTGTGGGCGTAGAACGTTCCATTGGGCGTATATCATTAAATGAACTTCAAACATATAGTGTTGGCGATCAGCAACAACAACAACAGCAGCAGTTTGTGTCTGCGGTTGATGACACCACCAACAACAACTGCAATTTTACTAGCAACAATGGTGTTGCACGTGTCAATATAACAAATTCACCAAAATGCGCTCTGAAGCGCAGCGAATTAATAACCAAAAATAAATTACTAAGCAACAAATACATGTTGCGGCGTTTAACGAATCGTCAGGATAGCATGAATTCCACCTCATCTGGCAATAGTTGCAACAGCAACAGTAGCATTTCGAGTGATGAACTATTGTACAGTCATAACAGCAACAAAAACAACAACAACAATAATAGTAACAGCAACAACAATGATGCCACATTAAGAAATAACAATGAGGCAAATAAATCGAACTCTATATCACCTGCGCTACCACTCTTTTGTTTGGGAAACTCTTTTCCACACATCGACAGTGATGAAGAGAATCCAGACGACAAACGAAATTCACTGGAATGTGGTAAGTACTGCAAAATGTTGCGACATTGTTAAAGCTAAAGCCAATTATTAATATCATTTATCTTGTACATTATTTATCTTATATTACATTATTTACTTAAGACTAAAACTTAAATTGCATTGTCTCGAGTAGATTCAGGGAAAAATGTTTCGCATAGTTTGAGTTTGTTTTTTGAAAAATTCACGACGGTCTTGTATCTATTTAATAAGTGAAAGTGAAAACACTTTTCGTTATAATATCAAAATTATCTAATAGCAAAATAATAAATAAAACTCACTGCTTTAGTGCTGATTTCAGCTAGAGATAAATACTTTAGTTGCAAAGTGTTATATGCCAAATTAAGTTTAGTTGCTGATAACATCTACACCGAAAAATAGGAGAAAATCATACAAATCGTTAAAGAGCATCAACATCAGCGCATTTGAATTTGTTAACAGTCAATAAATCTGTGCAACCTACGAACAATAAATATCTTTGATTTCCTCTTAAAACGTTTTATAATAAAACGAAATAAATTTTGATTTGGACCTTTTAAAGACAACAAATATTGTATATAAATCGTGAGATAGATTTGAGTATGAAATTTTTAAAGAATAGTTTTCATTTTGATATTCAATTAAATAATGTTAATACTATAATTATAAAAAATTTATTAAAGTAGTAATCACTTTTTTTCTACATATAATTATATTTTTGGTCACATTTTTTACTTTTAATTTGCTTAGTAATCAATTAAAAGATGCTGAGCAGATGCTGCGCTTTGCAGTTGCTGTAACGCAGCTAAGATAGTGTCAAAAGGAAAGGATATGCAATACTAAAAAAAATTGCTGTCTGTTATAATTTCTTTAGTAATGAATTTAAACAACAAAATTTTATTTTTTTATTGCTGTTTTTTTTTACTATCATAACTATTTCGACTATAGGTAAATACTTATTATCACTGATCATTGGAAATAATGATCAGTTGTTGAACTACAAGTTCTACACTCGGAATTCTGAACCTCTCACATTAGAAGCAATGACTATTCATATTTTTAACCAAATTAGTAATGTCGTGGTCGAAACTTTCATTATTAAAATTTAAACTTTTTCGTTACTTTTTCGTTACTTTTTTTAATTTTTCATAAAAGAAACATAAAGACACTTAGAGAGCTTCTTAATTAAAACTAGCTTATAAACCACAGCTTACTAAAATTACAATCAATTAATATAATTTTTTTTATTTGTAACAGCTTTAGTATTAATCTCTTTGGAGAGACATTATTTATTGCATACTTTTATTATTATTTATTATTATTATTTTATAATTATTATTTTTTCTTACATATAAAACAGATTCTCACTCCGGAACTTATTATTATTAAGTTTTGCTAATGTTGCTCTACGATTTTTAGTCGCAGTTCTTTTCGTAGTTCACTAACTAAATTTTAATGAAAGTAACTAATGGACTTGAATATATTCACATTCAGATATATGCAAATACTTCAATGTAAAAGCAATATGCTTATTGTTGTTTTTTTCGGGAGAATTACATAAATACTGTTCTTAAAAAAGTAAAACTTACTCTTTTATAATTTCTCCATTGTTTCTTCCGTAGCATTATTATAATATCCAATTAGTATGAGTACTAGTTTTTATTATCTTCAGATTATATTGTAAAAGGGGATCTATCCTCTTAATTACAAAAGTGGAGGATATTAATGGAAGGGTCAGACTGCATATTATCGAAATAGAATGAATGAATTGGGAGTAGGTTCTGTCCTATAACTTATATGAAATCAAAAAATGATAGTGTTAGTTGTGTGAAAGTCAAAAAAAAGATCATGTAGCCGGATGAAAAATCGATAAGTATTTAAAATAGCAGCTCGTCAAATCTAGTCATTTTAGTTTTGGCGTAAACTAACTTACTTACTGCTTCATTAACTCTTGCTAGAGCATATTGTTTTCGACATTAATCATGAAATCATTCCACCTATTTCCAACTTTATCAATTCCTTCATTAACTGGTCGAAGCCAGATTTTTGCTGGGACGTCTTCTCGGTGGCTGCTCTGCGGTTGCAACAGCAAGGATTGTCTAGTTATGTTGTTTATAGATACTGTAAGTGTATAGCTTAGAGAAAGAAAGTATGTAGAGGAGGATATATAGCATAAACAAGTACTAGTTATTAAGTTTGCATTTAAAAATAATAAGTAATAATTAATTCACTTTTATTAGTGTTATGTACTTAATTTCATTTAGCTTCAATGATTTGAAGTTCCTTAAATTAAGTGATATTAATATGAAAAGAGATCTATATATTAAATTTATTGATATATTTGAGTAAAAGTGATATTGGACATATAGTTTGCATGAAAGTCTTATTGCACAATGTTGTTAATGTTTTTTTTATACGATAGTATTTACAAACTCTGTAATTTTGATTAACTCAAATTTTTGTCAAAGCATTAATTAATTTTTATGTACCACAAAACAATTTAAGTTATCTTCAATATACATCAAACAAATATTTAGTTTGAAAATAAATTGAACTTTTCAATAATTATTGTTTAAAAAATATCTATTACAACCTTCAAATGATTTTCCTTTTCATTTATTTAATTATCTCCTCAAACCACAGCGGATATCGTTACGCCTGTACATTTGCCTTAATAGCCAGTAATGCCACCTCCGCGTTAGGCAATCACAGAAAAGTTGCACTAAGGCTTGATAATAAATTTAATATAAAATTTATAATATTTGCATATTAATTTATATCTCAAAAAAAAAAAAGAAAAAAAGAAAAATATAAGCAACATGAATTTTTCAATGAAACCTCAAAACCGCAAGAAATGCGATTCAAGCGAATGGCAAATAATCGCACGCCAGATACGAACAACCTGTGCACTTGCTGCCAGGTTTTTTAAAATGTTTCACTGACTGTCTGACTGTAGAGCAAAATTATCTTGAACGATACCAAATCCGATAATGCCACATGTTGGCTACCAGCCGACAATGATTGCTGCAACATTGCTTTAAACTGTGTTCATTCTTGTTGTCAGGAAACTAATCGTTCATGCAAATGCAATCAAGAAAACTATAAATGTTCCAATTTGTCTTTTTCAGTAATGAAATAAAACAACAAAAATATAAAAAATATTAATTTTTAATGTCATTTTGACAACGACAACTTTTAGGATTTGCACTACAATTGCTAAATGCACATATGCTACGCTGCAACAATTTGTGGCATGCAAGTGCTGCACTGAACTTATCATTCTGCGAACGCCTTTAACAGAAATTGGTGTTGGCATTGACTGCGTTTGCATGAAATTAACTGCCTCCATTAGTTGCTCCAACCAAGACCAAGTGTGGGAGCCGTTAGTCCGGCCGATACTGATTTAATGCGCCCACATGAAATTGAAAGGATCGCGCTGCATTGTTGGAAAATATTGCTTTTAATGCAATTTTTGTTTTTTTTTTTTGGGTTTTTTGAAATGCCAAAATTGCACTGTTTCACTTTTAATATTTTGCGAAGCCGTTAATTAAAAGTTGTTTTCCATTAATTCTCTTAGAAAAATTATGCAAAAATATGTTTGTCAGTAGGGCAAAAGCCGCCCATTAATTTGAAGTGCCACTCACTTTTGTCCTGAATTTTTCACATTAAATTATTCCGCCTCCTATGAATTTCAGACTATTCGAGTCTGTGTTTATAAAGCAGGTGTCACCAAATTTTTGTAACCAAATTGCGTATAAATCAATGTTACTTTTTCAAGTTTTTACAATATTTTGAGGTTTATGTCTCATGAGGTTAGGAGTAATAATTCAACTCCTACTGAAATAACTGAAATCGGGCACATGTATTCCTTTTCAAGAAGTTAGCCATGGCTTATATTGAAGTAAAAAAATAAATAAATATTTAACATTGAAGAAAATACTTTTCTAAAGATTATTTTAATTATTAATGCTGAATAAAAATAAAAGTAAAATATTAAAAGTAAAACAATGAACTTTTATTATTTATTGACCTTCGTACTCCTATTTTCGACACATCTTTCTTAGTCAGGAAATACGAGAACAAACCCTTGCATTTTTTTCTATGAAATTTGCGAAATAATTAATATAGGTATTATTTTTGTCTGCCCTTCACTGGCAATACTGTAAGAAAAATATACAGTATGCTCACGACAATCTGGATAATCGTGAGGAAAATCAACTTAAGTAGAAAAGTTAAAAATTAATGTCTATTGAGGGATTTTGATTTGTTTTGTTCAAATTATAGAAATAATAATGAATACCGAGATATCAAAAGCATACTCTCCTACAAAAGTCAAAGTATACGAGTATGTATAGCAAAATGTGAGATGTCAACATACAATATATATTATCCTAATCAGTATAACAAGATTAATTGACTTAATGTTCTAGTTTTTAAGCTCATGAAATAGAAACAGGGAATCTGCATCCATAGAGATTAGATTAACGATTTAGGTGATAGAATCACGTAGCTGTTAAATAATTACCGAATATACTTATATACAAAAACTATTTCGAAAAGTAATGAATTCGAAAAGTAATGAAGAATCGACAACAAAAATTTAATTAATATGTTGAAATTTGGCTGACCATACAACGCTGTTTCGTTTCAATATATTAATCAAATTTTTGTTGTTACTTCTTCATTACTGTTCGAACCATTCTTTTTTCTTTTCGTCATAAGACATAATATAAGTTTATTATTATAATCAATCTTATATTTTGCATAAATTGATTATATTTTGAATAATTTAGTTAATTATTATATGAATAAAATCCATCAAAATATTATGATCAACCTAGATCAAATCTTTTTTGTATATAATCTGTACTTCTGTAATATGTGATCTGATTGTAATTCTTTCGATTACAATCCACTTTTCTTTCACAAACTTAGTTGTGGACCAATCTACTCCACAGCAAAGCTTCGAACTACGTATATGTGGGTCATCTTTATAAACTTCAATTATCTGCTAATCCAGAATGCAGATTATGCCTCGAAGATGAGGAAACAACTATGCATTTTCGTTGTGATTTTCCAGTCTTAATAGCGCACAAAAGAAACTTGTTTCGTGTGGAATTTATGACACTAATACAGATTAAGAGCTCATCTTTAGATTTAGTTCTGGACTTTTTATTCACGAAGCATTAGAGGGCTTTGTATGATTAAAAGTGAATTTGCTTCAATAGGATGATTTTGACCGCAGTACTGACTGTTGGGCGCAGTACGCTACTATTTTTAATAATAATAAAATAATAAAATAATATAGGTAAAATATTTTAGTATATTTATGGCAACCATCATGTCAGAAGTTTTAATAAATCGGCTATAAAATTGAAAAGCTATCGATTTGATACTTTGTAGAGTTAATAACTGCTATGGTAAAGTGCATAATATATGCTATTTTTATATATTGTTACTTTCGCGGCGAATTGAAAAAATGTAATATATCAGATATTAAAAAATGTAAATTTTTCACTCTCGCAAACAATATCACTTTAGTTGTATCCAATGTACTTTCACAAGAATGTAATTAACGACTAATATGAGTTTTCCTTTCTAACAAATTACTTTTCACCGCCTTTAATTATTTTTTATAAATATTCTCTAATTTGTCTTCACTTCTTTTCAGACCAAATAGAAAATGAAATCATACCACCAAGTTCAATTACGGAATTACCTGAGAAGCTGTTAGCATCTGGAATATATTTACCAGGTGAGTAAACTAGTTTTCTAGTTAATAAATTTGTTAACATCTTGTCATACATGGTAAGAATTTAAAAGATTTGCACCCAATCATCCACAAATTTATGTATCGGAAGACGCTGTTTCTATTTTTATTAATGATAAAAACATATTTGACTTCAGGTGAAACAATTTCACTTTATAAAAATTAGTTTGAAAATTAATTGAAAGAGTCTAATTTGGATTAATAATGCTCATTGAACTAAATAAGCTTGTAGAGCTCGTTTTAAATATTTATCTTAAAATCTGTCAAGACAGAACCATCTAGTTCCGGCTTATCGCGGCAGTCATCACTTTCAATAAACGCTTAAAAAAAAGCATTCAGCAAAATAGTGAGGATATTATATGCACACATAAAGTGTTTGAAGAACCATGCTTAAAAACATAGATATTAAGTTTCTTATTTAATGACAGACTGTTTGATGCTTTATTAAGATAAGTTAGTTTCTTACTGAATTTAGACTTTATGTGGTACGCCGTTTTAGTGCCACCGTCTGCTGATCATTATCATCAAATACGCTTAGTATAAATCTTTTTTTCGTTTCAGTTTTCATGAGCTTTACAGTAGGAAAGGCAGATTGTAGAATTTATTTGGGTGGTAATTCTATTTATTATTATTATTTTTAGTGATTTCTTTAAAATATTTGTTTTATTCATTAAACAAATTGTACTCTAAGGTGTTTTTGACTTTTCATAAATAAGAAGAACCCAAAAATACAAAGTTATTTGGACATTTTAAAAATAAAGTAAAATTTATTTGATTGGTAACTTTATTTATGTAATATATTTTTTATAAAATTTTTTTTGAACCATTCATTTTATTTATTAAACAAATTGCGCTCTAAAATATTTTTGACTTTTAATATATAAGAAGATCCAAAAATCAAAAGTACCATAATTTGGACATTTTAAAAATAAGAAGATTAAAAAGTTTTTTTTGGCCAAGTGGACTTACTTGACTAAAACTGTCTCATCAGAATTCAATGCAGCATAGTCTATGCGATCAGCATAGTCTATGCGATCAGCATAGTCTTCAAGCATGTTAAGTAAGTTTTTAAGATAACCTATACTAGGATGCTCTTTGGGATATTCCATTTGTGATGCGTCAAAATTTGTTTGATAGATACTAGAAATGTATCGTATGGAATTACAAAAATCGAATTTAAAATTTTTATTATAATAATTATTTGCTTTAGTACTGAATTATAAATCTCACCTACTCTTTTCAAATTGTACGTACAAAGGTGATGAAAAATTTTTGCGATAGACGTAGTATCGAACTTTCTTAAATTCTTTGTAGTTGCTTTTAATTTCGGAACCCCTTCTACAATGACGCTTTAACTTTTTAATTTGTTTAAGTAGTGTATTGCGTCTAGATGTTTAAAATGTCCTTTTTTGCGGATATCTCTTTGACTAAAGATACCAACCTTGAATGAAGAAGCCAGAAAGTACATTTCGTGAATAGAAGGATGGTAAATCAATTTAAAAGGAAATTCGTGAATTTTATATAGCTTATGGCAATAGCTTAAAGACCAAATCGGGTTCCTTTCCAAATCATTTAGTAATCTGACGATTATTTTATTCAATACTGTTGCATATTAAAAACCTCCCTTTACCACGACTATACGCCCTTGTACTTTCAGAAAACACTGTACAGATATTCCTGATTTACAGTACATTTTGATTGTTCTTTGTTCTTCGAAGTGCAATGTTAAATCTACATTTTGTGAAACCTATAAATCTATAAAAAAATTCTTTTTGCATTTTCTGGTAATAAACATTTTTGATGAATCTTAATGTAATATAATATTACATATATTATTTAAATAGGATCAAGTGACGCAAATATGGCCTAAGTAAGCTTTTTAGTTTTTATTCTATGATTATCCAATACCATTTCAAACACTTTACTATATGGGTGCCTCAAATCAGTGGTAGTTAAATGCTACCATATATTCATAATAACAAAAATAAATTTACCATAGAAGTTTATTGTTGTGAAAGATTGACAGAACTAGTTCCACTGAGTTAATGAGTAGATTTAGTTTCCGTCAGTGTGTCCATCAAATCTTCACAATTTAGTTAATGTTTAAACAATATGTTAAATAATTTATTTGTACAAAATATATGAAAAATATTTATATATCAGATGTGTGAAAAAGTAAATAACACTTTTTGAAAAAGGATTTTTGAAGTAAGACCGTTTGTTGGCCATTATAAGATTGATCATTTACTTTCACATTTGAATGAATTAAAGCGGTGCTTGTGAAGTAAAAAAAGATCTGGTTATCAATGCAAAAATGTGGCGCAAACAAACTGGTAATGTTTAGTTTTAAGTTTGATGCATCTGTCATTTGGTTTGAATACGATCGTTAGGCCATAAATGAGAAGAACTTACTGCCTAATCGAATCCCTGAATAAAGTTTCTATCAGAATTATGCTTCAATTTTTTCAAGATCAAAAAGAAATTTGAGTTACTACACATTCGAAGAATTGAAATCAAGTATTTTAGAGACATCAATGTATCGAATTTGCATCATTTGTTTGAACAGCCGAAAAGTTTATACACAGTTTGTTCCTCACATGTGACTGACGACAAACAAAACTTGATCAGCACTCATCATTCGAAAGACATCATTAGGGAACCCAAAATCTACAAAACTTTATTTAACACATTGTAATTGATGATGATAGGCATTAAATAAGACTAATTTTAAAAAACTTTGTTTAAAGATATCAAATGTAAAGGCAAGAATCTAAGGAGTTCGTTCCAATGTGCCAAACGAATAATAAATAATTCTGTTTTGGTGGTTTAAAGGTTTGGGTGCATTGTATTTGGTCAGAATATATAACAAATTATTTTTATACTAATTTTTATACTATTTTTTACGATTTACATCAATTTTTATACTAAAAATCGCATTTCAACTATCAGCCAATTCTCTTATATATCTAATTATATACTAAGTAACTATTATTTTTTCAAAAAAGTCATTTGACATAAAATACTTAATCAATGCCATATATATAGTTAAACCATACAAATCGTAATATTAACCAAAAGTAAATCAGATCTTCTAGTATTTTAAGAAATTATTATAGTGTAATAAAAATATTTTTACTATTATAATAATAATAATATCAATCAAGTTAAAGCAATACTTAGAATCAATATTTATATATTTTATTTGATATTTCTTAAATTAACATTTAATTATATATTCTAATGTTTTTTTATATAAAAATTAAATTGTTCTTATTCATCTTTTCATTTGCAGGTACACGTGATCTGCATGGTCATCCTTTAGTGACTGTGGATGCAGAAGTTGTCATTGCCGCTGGTTTAAATTGCTATGAAGTAGCCACCGTACTTCTGTACTATAGTACAATACCAGAAAGGTAAGGCCAGAAAATATTCAATAATAATAAAAATTCCATTTTTATGTGTAATACTTAATTAAAAAATTATAAAAGAAATATGTGCATGTCTTAATGCTATCTAGTCAAAGAATGTACTTAAAATATGTGCATTAATTTTATTCTTTATAAATATTTATGTAAAAAGCAATAAAAATCCAAAGGAAATAAATATTTTATTGTTCTCAATGCGGAACTAATATTAATTTCCCTTCAATGATTTTAATGGGTGGATTTTTTATACACTTATATTTTTATTTTTTGAACAAACATCGTAAAATATTGAGTTTAGATCCGTGAAAAATGAAATTTTAATAGAATCTTTATAAATTAAATGTTAAAAAATAATTATTTAATTGATTAACAATTTACAAAATATTTGCGCAACAGTCAGAGTTGAATTCTATGAAAATTACAAAATAAATTTATAAATAAATAATAAATAAATAATAAATAAATAATAAATAATAATAAATAATAAATAAATAATAAATAAATAATAAATAAATAATAAATAAATAAATAAACAATCAATAAATAAATTAAAAAAAAGTAAATAAATAAATAATAAATTAATAAATAAATGATAAATACATAAATATTAAATAAATTTATCTACATGATTTTTTACGTAGATAAATTTATATATATATGCCTTCTCATCAGAGTACAGAATGACTCACATCCAAATGTTGGATGTTGTAAAAAGAAATCCATTTCCGAATGGATGGTTATAGTTATCTGTATTTTGCAATGTATAAATCCGATCGGGTTACGCTAGACGGTGTTAGAAATATGAGATTTCGTACTAAAAAAATTTTGACAGTTTGGTGATTGGTTTTTCTGGTAAAAAAATTTGCTTCAGGGACTTGTGAAAATCGACTTCTATGAAAGCGGCATAATGAAATTACCTTCAACAATAAGTTATCGAACAAAACAGTGCATATTTAATCTAAATTGGATCATTCTAACTTTGCTAATAAGCCTTTAATTTCATGCCAAATAATGAATTTCTTTTTACTACACCTATTAATTGACATTGGGGTCGTCATATGGCGTGACAGTCAATCGGCTGGTAGCAAGCTCTTGTTTGAGTAATAATAAAGTAACTAACTTCATTCCAGAAATAACTTTAATTTGTGTATTTACCTCTGACTTAAGTGAGGTTTATGCGTTTATTTTTTAACTGTTACTGGCTTCACGGTATAAGAATTCCCACCTAAAATTTATCTCTTTTCGATTAAATTCCTCTGGTAAATTTGTTGGTATCTTTCGAGTGCAACAAAGTTTAATGTTTATTTTGGGGCGTATATAGTATTTTCTATTTCAATATTTGCTGGTTTTAAAGCAACTTCATTTGTATGTCGTCTGCTCTCTGGCTGGCTGCTGCTGACTTACATGATTTCCTTTACCTTTTTACATGCAGCTCAGTTAAGTCAACAAAACTACACAAAAATAAATAAAAGTCGGCTATCGTGACAGCTTCAATACCGCAAAGTGCTCGAGAGCTCCCAACTTCGATGTGAAACTGTGCCACTTTTTCCTAGGTGTGCAGAAGTGTTTGCTTACATATTTTCGCAAATATTTGTCACTTTAGCGAAAATCAGTGGAAGTGTTGATTTTTATGCATTTAAATTGGCGTTGTCTGGATTCGGAAAATTTTTAATTGAAAAATCTGCAAATTAATTTACGCCATTCGAGAAAGTTGAGCAGACGTCATTTAAAAATCAAATCAAGTAGTTTTTTGCACTTTTTTTCAGAATCTGTACTTTTAGATTTTAATAAAAATTTCTATGTATTTTATATACGTATATAAATACATAGTGATGTAAGATAAATGCTATCCGTTCCTATCCATGAAGTGGTAAAGGTTAGTATGAAATCTAAAATTTCACACTAACTAAAAAATTTCATTTAGGATTAGTATTTTCTCCTCCAGCGCCGCTTCAAATGTTGTTGATGTTCTATGATATAAGAAAAAAATCACACATTTGTTTTAGTAAAATTGTTATGTTTAGTGTGAGATCCCAAATAAATTAAAAGTTTATTTAGTATTAGAATTTTCTGCCCCAGCGCTTCTTCAAGTGTAATTGAATGATATGGCTTGATGATAGATTATAATCGAGAAAAAGTAGTGTAGATTAGCAATTAGAATCGGTATGAGTCTTTTGTTAGGTATCGGTTTCATTAGTTAATAGCTAACTAGCTAAGTCAAATACAATCTCTCTGTGTAATAGTATTGTTTAGAACACTGTATAATATAAGCTAATGGTACATCCAAATCCAGGAACATAAATCATTTCACATCTCTAGTAAGGCACTAAAAGGACTACACACAAGATCGTATAATATTGTTGATTGTGACATATGTGTATTTGAAGATATATGATTAAGCCGGAAGGTGTTTGTCAAGTTCTTCCCATATATATTGACTTTATTGACATATATATTGACTTCTTGTTATTATACTAATTTTAATAGCTAAAATAACGTAATTGTCCTTTTTAAGAATTTTTTTTTCAAACTTAGTTATCCTAATAAATTGCAGACAGTAAATAATAATAACATAATAACAATGAATAGACATACTTATATACGTTAGTAAGGACGCGTTAGTAAGGCTTTACAGTACAAATGAATTTGTGATTCTTAGTCTAATGGATTTCTAGTCTACGTGAACAACACTATAATTTAATCGAATTAAGTTTATTTATCTACTCCTGCTACTACTGTTCAGTTACAGCGATATATACTATTCATGTCGTTGTAATTTGAAGTAATATAGAAAATACTTATAATTATTCTAAGTAATTAAATATAACTCAAGGGGACAAATTATTAAGATTCTGTTGAGGATAGCTTTTATTTGATTAAGAATTTGTTTAGCTGAAAATAATCGTACTCCATTTGATTTTGCAGAAGGGAAATCAGATTTAGTATCTGGATTTAATATAGAAAAGAGTGATTCGCATTAATTTTTTTAGCTGAATATGCAAGTATTTTATTTATAAGTATATTATTTTGTGTCATTTTTTTGGGATGTAACTTATTTGATATAATATTTTTTTTTCACCTCGACATAAATATCTTTAGTGCTCTCTTCATTGATTCAAAGTATTTTTCTAAGTCGAAGTTTCCTTGTGAATTGTAGTATTGCACTTGCATTTTTATTTCTTTATCCGATATGAGCTGTATACCCAGGTACTTGTGTAGCTTATGCGTCAGTACCGGGTAAATTTTAACCACGATATTTTATGGTCTCAATTTTTCCTTTTAAAGCCTATAAGTTCCATTAGAGGAAATTCCCAGTTTAGTAAAGTGATAGTTTAACCTACAGTTCCCTATTAGGACTCCTGTTATGCTTTTTAAATTATTTATACTTAGTTACATACAATCCATAAATAGTTTCTGAAAGATTATCTCTGGAATATAAATGTTTCTTGATTTTTATAAAGGTGACTCTTCGCTACAAATTTTATTTAACATATTTAGAATGATATGGTTTTTCATTTAGCCGACATCCTAAAAAATTATATTTGTTTACCGTTCTTATATTGTAATCATTTGAACGCAATGTTGTGCTAATATTTTTTCAGCATATTACCACATACTATATTTTATTGTAAATTATTGCACCTAAAAAAGATTGTAGACTGCAATTCTAAGTAATACTATACGTATGAGTTTTTTCGACTAGGTTTAATGATAAGTTTTAAATCTTGAAAGAACTTTTTCTTCACTGCTATTGGGATACATATTTTAATCAATGATTTTGTTAAACTATGGATATGAAAATAGATTGTTGTTAATGTTTGACAGTACTCGAATAAAAAAAATTATTTATTACCTATCTATTAATAACCTTAGTTATTTTTGAAGTAATTGGTTAACTTAAAACCTTTCTTGTGATTTTTATATAAAAACACATCGGTACAAATGTTAAAATTATATATAAATTTAAATCAATGCTTGTTAAACTTTAAAAATTATAAAAATCTTTGTATTAAGTATTAAAATTTTATTAATTCCTATCTTCAATAAAAGTAAAACTTTGTATCTGTGATGACGAAAATAATGTATACATTTTTGACCTTTTAACTTTAAAATATATCTCATAAATTTTCTTAGAAGACGCTTAGACGTTTTTATGTTGCTTCACAATTAAATAAATATTAAAATAAATTTGAAAATTTAACTTCTACGAAAACCACTTCGCTGTTCTTTGTGCGTTTGTTAATAAAAACAAAAATTAATAACTCAAACATAAATCAAAATATCTAAAAATCAATTTGACATGAGAACTTTGTTGCTCTTAAATTAGCAAGGAACCACCCTTGAAGCCAGCAGGCACTTAACAGGCACATTAAATATCCAAGCGGTAGAGTAAGTTTCCTGGAAGTGACGAAATCATCAAGAACATTTATATCTCAAATATATATAAGAATATAAATACTTTTATAAAACATACATATATAGATTGAACGTACTGAAAAATTTAAATATAAAAGATCGGTTTTGCAATAAAACTAAACCGTTTGCAAAAATATATAAAATTTGCAACATAAAATTAGCATGTCACGAAATTGTCAAAAACTTCTTTGTAGGTTGCGCTAAACTTAAAGATATTTTCCCGACATTAAGTTCAGTTTGGAGAAGTACAAAGTCAACCGCTTTCAGTTTAAATTTAAAAGTCGGTCTCAATGATTTTAAGAATTCTACAAAAATTCTACTTTTTAAACGAAATCGCCTTGAGTTATATTAAAAATATTGATCAAATGTTTTTGCTTTTGTTTTTTTTAGTACTTAAGCTTTTTGCAATTTTTTATATATAAAAATTGTAACATTATTAACAGTACATAGAAGTATCTTCTCATTTTGTGTTTTAATACCTACAGCTAAAGTGGCAAATTGAGTGGCATGAAAACGTTTTCTTTGCAGTCTTATTTCAATCATGCCTAAGCGTGAAGCCGCATTAGTTCTTAAGTTCTCATGCCTTCATGACCTAGTCCAAGTACTACTATTCCTCCTTATTGTAAGTTGGCATATTTTCATATTTAAGTGTATATAACATATACTATACACATATACATACAGTCATTCTAACAAATATGTTCTTGTTATATCACTCGAAGCTATAAATCATATTTGCTGCATTAAAATGCATTTCGTACTCGTATCATGTTGCATGAATATTTTTCCTATTTGGTTTATTTGGGTGAATTTTTAAACTTAACATATACCTTTGGTAGATTTTTTTGTGCTATCTGCAAAAAATATTTAAAGTTTTCATATTGAGTATTGCTAACTTGAGTGAGAAATAGCTTGACCTCAATATTTTATTTTTTATGCTATTTTATTTTTGTTTTTTGGTTCCCTAATATAAGAATCATTAATTGATTTATTTTTAAAATATTAGAAATAAAATGTTTTTTAAATATATAAAAATATCACCATAGCAAATTGCAATACTTTCAGATGCACATCCTTAAATATATCTTATGCTTGTCAATAACAGTCATTGGATAATACGAGGACGATTTGATAAGTCAGTGACTTTTTGAATAAAACAAATTTTTTTTCGGCAAATAAACATTATATTTTTCTACATAATCACCTTTTAGTTCGATACATTTAGTCCA